GAACCGAAGGCCCTTTTTACTGGAAACGAGGCATTCCATCCCAAATGCGTGTTGACGAACTTCACATGTCTTCGAAATATTTTTTTTTCTTATTCCTCAGACATGCAGGTTTCCTCACGATGTTTTCCTTCACCGCCGAGCACGTGGTAAATCAGCACTTAAAATTGCAATTAACAATTTCATTGGTGCCGGCGGGGATCGAACCCGGGTTACTCGCGTTCTGTTATATTTACAGCGAGCCTTAACTACTGAGCTACCACGGCTTCTCGTGTGGTCCTATATAAATTTCATCAAGATCTGGCCAGTAGATAGTTTTTGAGTTATCCTTGACAATGCGTGGTGTTCAATTGACTTCGAATATATTGATTTTCACATACTGTGCATTTTAATATCAACTGTGTTGTTGAAACACCAAATTCTTATTCTCTTTGTAATAATTATTTTATTATAAAATGATGCAGTGAATCCATAAAATTAGTTATTAATTAAATCATTAAGTTTAAATCTGCAACTCAAATTTTATCGATTAGTTTCGCTTTAAATTATTTTTATTTTTTGACCTTCCTTAAAGCCGACTGTGTCGGTAATTTATTTCCAGCTTACACTATAGGTATATCATAATTTATATAGCTTGATATGATTATTGCGCCGACGTTTTAAATTTTGAAACAATGAAAAGCTGTTGTTCTTGTTGTGCGTTAAAGGTGTTTGTTTATGATTTTATAATTTTGTTTATTGCAAACACCTGCAACTAGGGTTGACAAAGGGCAGACTTAATGGCTCCGGCGTTCCTTAGCAGTCAACCCTGTTTCATAAAAATAACATACCTGCATACTATGTTGCTTCCTTTATAGGTATTAATAGAATAGAATTTTATAATAGAATAGAAATTTTATTCAATATAGATTATTTTATAATATTTCTACTTATTGAAAGTCATTTTTACTCGACTGTCCTAGAAGGAGGGTAATGTTTCCGAGAGTAGTTAGGTACCTATGCATGTACATATATAGGTATGTCTATTTAATTGACATGCTCTGTTGCCTAAACGGCTTAATGGATTAACATACATTTTTTTCTATTCTGGGAGTGAAATAAGCTATATAATATGTATTTATTGTACACAAAAATAAGAAATAATTTAAAAGTTTTATGAAAGAGACGTCAATGTGAAAAGGTTGCAATTTTAAGTACTTAGGATTTCACAACTGTATCTCAATTAGTGATATAGGTACCTATAGTGGGATGGTCTATTTTTTTTTAAATTTAAACTGAAAACGAACTTACAATTCCGGTTCTCACTGATGGTAAGTGGCTCTTGCAGTCCATGGACACGTAAAGACAAATTTAAGCCAAGAAGACTGCAGATACGTTATCACCTCTGGCACAAAATAAATAATATAGTACCTGAGTGTAATATGGTCATATGGTTAATCTGGGCACTTCCTTATAACGCAAAAACTACAGCCTTGTTTGCATAGATGGCTTTATAATACGATTGCTCTTCATTGGTCAATCAAAAAATAAAAGGTCAAAGGGGCGCTGCTTTATCGACGCCATTTTGACAGTTGCCATTATAGAAAATAAATTAAGTCGTTTGTAGTACCGTGCAGTGTTGTTAGTTTTTTTTTAAGTTGAATTTCCGAAGTATTCCTAATGATTGCCAAAGCTTGTTTGCTATTTTTTTTTTCTTAATATATTAGTTACAGTATATGACTTAGTGTTTTTGTCTCTGTCCTCCGCCTAGTTTTCGTTTTATAGGGCGGCAAAACTTAAGGTGACCATATTACCATCACGTGCCTTAGCATCTACTACGTACCTTTGAGGACTATGTTGGAATAACTGAAAGACAGTAGGTATAATCACATGCGAGGCTTGTCTTATACGTTTCATACCGGGACACAGCAATAAAAGCTTTGCTATTTGGGGCTAGAAATAGGAAGACGGTGTTATCTACAGCGATGCTGCAGCTATATAGTGGTAGCAGCACGAATGTATCGGCTCGGCTCGGAAGGACCACGCTCTCACAGAATACCAACGTAGAATAGCAGCTTAATGCTGCTGTGTTTTGTATGGTGAGTGTAGAGAACCGGAGACCGTTTTCACTGTAAACGAAGCATTCCATCTTAGTCCTCACGGGTGACGAGGCATCTGCATTTTGATTCTTAATTGAAGATAAATGTATCTAGATGTCTATGGGCTACAGCAACCACATACCATCAGGTGGACTGTGTGCTCGTTTATCACCCCTATTCTATAAAAAAAAGACGGACTCCTGGCCGGAAGAAGTTCCTGCCACATATTAATTCCAGCCTTTCGCAGTTTCTCATAAAGAAGGTTGTTGTTAACTATAATCATTGTAAAGTAAAAAAGCTTTGTCTAGCAAGTGGAACGTATGAACGTAGCCTGCATGTCCGAGAAATAAAAAAAACATATTTCGAAGACAACATAGTTCGCCAACACGCATTAGAGCAGCGCGGCGGACATTTCCTTGCCTTAAAACCCTCACAGAAATGAGAGATTTGTGCCCAACAGTGGTACGTTTATAGACTGTAAGCTAAGGCGCCACAGCCAAACTCTAAGCTACGCTACTGAGACATCACATTTTTATTGTAGCCAATAATATACAAAAAGACTTTGAATTAGGAAAGAGAGCTACCTATTTAAAATTTTACCACACTGTTATACCTAAATCTATCAGTGACAATGAAAATCGTAACACGAAGATACATTTTCACTTCCAAAAAGACATTACCATACCTCCTACTCAGTGACAGCCTCAAAACAATAACTGAAGGTGAAGGTGACAGCTAAATGAGGAATATATAAATAATTTATGTCGGAAAAATTAATGCTGCAGAAATATCTAGGTACGTTTATATTTTACGGGAATCAATGGTTTGGTGAGAAATTGTGTGATAAGAGAATAGTGTGGTTTGCAAGAAGACGTTGTGACTAGGATTAACAAAGGAGGTAATACGTCGTGGAGCCATGCTGCAGTTATATTAGTAGTATAGTTATAGCACGAATGGGTCGGCTCGACCGGGGAAGGACCATGCTCTCACAGAATACCAACATCGAATAGTAGCTTAATGCTGTGTTTCGTACGGTGAGTGTAGAGAAACGGAGACCCTTTTTACTGGAAACGCGGCATTCCATCTTAGTCCTCACGGATGACAACACATCCGCATTTTGATTCGTTATCGAGGAAAGATGTAGATGTCTATGGGCCACAGCAAAGCAACCATTTACAGTCAGATGGACTGTGTGCTCGTTTTGCCACTCTTATACTATAAAAATAAATCTATAACCGCCGGCGATGCATTGGTACATAGGCACAAAAACATGCATGTGTAAGAAGCAGGAGGCGTGTCAGGATCGTGCCAAATGGAATTCTTTTAGTCTCTACCCAACCCTCTGTGAAACAGGCATGGGAGTATATATGTTTATGTAGGTAAGTTTTATGTAGGTACGATTAAAGTAAGATAAAATAAACTCGTTCAACATATTATAATGTATTTTATGTAATGATTTCTTAAATTTACGCGAACACTACACATTGAATAAAACTATTATTTACGGATTTTATCGCGTTTAATTACTTTAATTTATTTTTATTATTATCCCGATGTTTCGAAGTCTGCAGTCTGCGAACATGTTCAAGATCGTCCCCACCATTACATTAGATTTGATAAACCACAAATTCTCGCAAAAGAACACCGATTTCTACCAAGGATGATACGCAGGCTATTGAAATTAAAAAACATCCAAATTTCAATAGAGAAGATGGTTGGGTACTACCATCTGCTTGGGATCCTATAATTAAAAATTAAACCCAAACCCAAGCATACCACTGCAAGACTTCATGATACTATAAGCTCGTTTTGCGTAAATCGGACCAAAAATTAATATTAAAAAAAAACTGAAGGTAGCCGGACTAACTATGACATTGGGACGTCAAACATCTCAGGCCCCCCCCCCCGTGACCATGGGTGCTGTAAAGCACCTGAAACGTCGGGATAATAATAAAAATAAATTAAAGTAATTAAACGCGATAAAATCCGTAAATAATAGTTTTATTCAATGTATTTTATGTACAAAATAGATGCCTCGCATTAATAACACTAAAATCAAATAATTAGGTAGCTAATGCTATACGCCGCAATTCATAGCTGTGAGTTGATCAAAGTAAGAAGTTGTTACGCATTAATCACTGTGTCTCTAAAAACTACCTTACAACACTTATTATTCGTTGTAACCACAGTTTTAAGATCTTTGAACTGTTTTGTAACGCTATGCTGGAATGGTACCTATTAGGTAGCTACACAAAAGGACGTCATTCGGTGCAAAGTGGATGAAATTTAAGATGTATCTAATGCCTCATTTGTTCATCATCGTTTTTTAAGTTGTTCTTGAAATAATATGATTGTGAACGAATGTGGTATTACGTCTTAAAATAAATAACCTATCGATTAAAACAATTGTCTATATATATTAGACTCTAATTAAAATAACAATAAAAGGTGTTAGGCGCCCATCTTGCTTTTAGAAACACATTTTGAATTAAATGTATGAGTACCAAGCAAATAACTAAACGTAAACACATAGGTATATTATGAATCAGAATTGCTAACGTCAGTTTTTATTATTTATAGCAGTTCAATAAATATTATTTAACATTATAAGCTAAGAGTTAAACATATAAAGATAACAAACGTGCAAAATCATAATGTAAACTTGTCAATGTTAGTTTTATTAAAATCACAATAGTTTTGGGGGTCGTCTCTGACATAAGTGCGGAACGCGAAAACCACCGACTTCTTAAAAAAGGTATTTATAAAAAGATGTGAAAATCTTCATTAGTCGGCCATTTTATAAACCACAATAACAATTATAAAATTAAAAGTGACAAAAATAAAATTAAATGTTTGTATTATAAGCATTAGTGAAAAGAGTGAATTAAATAATTTAATAATTGTAGGTACTTGTAAAATAAAAACCTGGATTAGGTTGTGTCTGGTAGTTAGGCTTCTTCATCCACTCGTAAGGCGATCGCGGCGGTGCCGGCGGGTGTGCTGGTTGTGAGGGTCTTGAACCTGGCGAACCTTCTCCAGGGCTTGCCAAATCTCCCCGTGCCGGTGAAGGCATTTCTCCAATCTCTCTTTCTCCCGGCTCCCGCTTCGGGAAATGATGAGGCTCCGACGGCCACTCTCCGCCCGGCGCTCCGTTCCACGCGCACCATTGTTGCTCCTCAAAGTTCTGATGCTGCCAGCCATACCAGCCTCCCGCTCCGTACTGCCCGCCCTTGCCTTGGTACATGGCGAGCGGATTGACGTAATTCACCATGCTTTGTTCACCGTCCAAGCATCGCACACACACTCGCTGTCACAACACTACCGCTTATCGGTCAGGTTCTGTTTAGAAACGTGTATGCACCGCGCGAGGCGTAGCGATCGCGACTGAATCTTACCGTGGCGAAGTAACCGCAGTCGGAACGGGAGGGGAAAATGTACGAGAGGTGGATTTAACGCAGCCAATGGTTGAATGGCTTGAGCGTGGATCCGCCCCGCGGCAGTGAAACCACCGCGCCCCACGCTATCGCTTAATTTGCCTAATTACGTTGAAAATAATGGACACCGCCGTAATGAACTCTACCTAGACCCGACTGAAAATATTGTAAACTGCTTGATAATAAAACTGCTTTATAATAAGCTAACCTTTCTAATAACGACAGATTTAATTTCTTTTACATTAAAATATGTTTAATTTTCCTAACTGTGAATATTTCTTCTTCTTCTGCTTTCTTCATAAAGATCTGCATTATGAAAAGTTTTGCGGACACATAAAGTGAAAAATTATTTCATATGATATAATATCCAATTTATTTATTACAGTGTAGTAACGCAATATATTATTCATTTTATTTCCTTAATTGTTACATATCCTAAATGGGTTGAATGTTTTTTGTGTGTTTACTAAAATTATATTGTACACAGTTATTCAATAAATGTATCTTTATCTTTATGCATAGGTATTTGTTAAGTAGGTACCTATATATTACTAAACATAAATTTTAATATATTTTAGGTAGATATGTATGATACAACAATAAGGTTACCTTGTAATCTTATAATATACCTAAATGATTGTCACTTACTAGGTACCTACCTTAAGGTATTATAGGTAAGTACATGATTATTTGCTTATTTTATTCCAATGAGGACATCTACGGCTTTATTGCCACCAGGGCGGTGCACTTCCCTTTAAGAATCAGGTGAAATAGATATTTGACATATTACATTGCGAGGATGTCAATTAGCTAGTAAAATATATAAGAATATACTTAATGTTTCCTCTTGTAATATTTGTTAGATAGGTATAGATCAAACCACTGAAACATTGCTGTATATTTTTAAGTAATGCTCTAGAAACTGAAAAAAATTATACGACATTGTGTAACAAAAAACTTCATCTCAGTCGCAACTAGCGTTGCCAGGCGTCCGGATAAAGCCGGACACAGTCAGACTTTTTGGTTGCGTGTCCGGCCAAATTAGACGGTGTCCGGCTTTTTAAATTTGACCATTTCTTTACATTTTTCATGTACTAATGCAATTATTGAAATTAATATTATAATGAATATTGAATACCTAATTAATAATAAAGAAGACTGATTTATACAATTGTTGTTATTTCGTTGGAACTTAAGAACATTTTACGGTAAATGATAGAAAGCATTATTTTACTTTAAAAAATGTCTTTTACTAAGATAAAAAATAAGGACTTTTTTACCAAAATGTCCGGCTAAGCTCGCTGGTCTGTACGGTTTTCGGTGTTAAGACCTGGCAACCCTATTCGGGAGGAAGCTGAAAGTCAACACTTTACTTTCTTTTAAGCATTACGCGCACTGAGCACAGAGTACCTATTATACCTACTTAAGGTTATGGAGTATAATAAGTATGAGGATATTTGTATCATTGCAGTGAACATGCACACACACTTCATGCGTAAACGTACCTACTCGGCTAATGTTATCCTTACCGTACCTACTTTTGTAGCCTAATTAAGTGTGTTCTGTTCTGTCAAAATATAAAGCGACTATCTAGGTATCTGTCTCGTTTAGAAAGGTTACGAAATATACTGACCGGCACAAAAAACGACTCATTATGACTTCTTTAAATAAATAATCTTGAAATCAGTATATTTGTGTTTAGGTATTTTCGGCCAGGAACAGGTCGCCAAAGACCCTACTCCTTACCTTAGCTACCCTAGGGCCATGGCTGCTGTTGAAATCAGGAATCGCCTTGCTGAAGTTTCAGATGTGCATGTAAGTAACAGGACTATCAGGAGACGCCTCCATTAAACTGATATCAAGGCCAGAGGACCTGCAAATGACCCATAGCTTATTAGGCAGCCTCCAGTCACGACTTGCATTTACACGTGAACATGTGAATTGAAGACCCGTGGTAGCTCCGATGGTTAACGCTCGCTGTAAATATATCAGAACGCGAGTAACCCGGGTTCGATCCCCGCCGGCACCAATGAAATTGTTAATTGCAATTTTAAGTGCTGATTTACCACGTGTCGGCGGTGAAGGAAATCGTGAGGAAACCTGCATGTCTGAGGAATAAGAAAAAAAATATTTCGAAGACATGTGAAGTTCGCCAACACGCATTGGGGCAGCGCGGTGGACACTTACTTGCCCTAAAACCCTCTCAGAAATGAGAGGAGATCTGTGCGCAGCAGTGGGACGTATATATGCTATAACTTTACTTACTTTATTTTATATGAATTAGGAGTATGTATAATAACAATAGGTACTCTACGCTATTCAATAAGAAATAAATGTAATATACCTATGGACCTACATCATTTATCAAATGTAGGTATATATACTTAATATCATATAGTACCTAACTCTATATTTTTGTACGTAATAAATATAAAAATTTCGTTTATTAAACGGTAACATGTTTTATTATAGAGTAATTTCATACATAGGTACGTGTAACGTATGCATAGAGAGAACCTACAATTCTACATAAATTGAGTTAATTACTTCTCGGTTTTTGTTATTTAATTTTCAAATTTTAGGCAAAACGAGACAAATACATTCAAAGATGTTGCGTGTAATTTTTTGATACGTTTGCTTGGGATTTTTCACACGTGGTAGGGCCATGCTGCAGTTATATAAGTGGTATAGTTGTACTACAAATAGGTCGGCTCGACCGGGGAAGGACCACGCTCTCACATAATACCAACGTAAAATAGTAGCTTAATGCTGCTGTGTTTCGTATGGTGAGTATAGAGAACCGGAGACCCTTTTTACTGGAAATGAGGCATTCCATCCTAGTCCTCATGGGTGACGACGCTTCTGCATTTCGATTCGTAATCGAGGATAGATGTAGATGTCTATGCCTCACAGCAACCACTTACCATCAGGTGGACTGTGTGCTCGTTTGTCACCCTATCCTATAAAAAAATAGAAACGTCAAGAGGTCATCTTTGACCTCTTTTTACACTGCTAAATAAAAAAGATAATAGGATTGTATTTATTTGTCCAATATCCTACAGGCTGGTTTATTTGACAAATATACATAATTTTAATTAAGTCGTATTATTTATAGTGTTTTTTGACGAGTACTAATGCCTTTAATATTTTACTAAAAATGTTATTGTAAAATTATACCTTCAAATAAAATGTATCAATAAAGATAGCATGTTTTGTACTAGAATGCAAATCTCATTCTTCCCGTAAAGAACATGGTTCTGGATTCGTAAGCTTCCACCAGAGTGTACTTACGTTTTTATGAAGTATTCTAAAATTAAATTACATTATAACTGTAAGTAAATTGTATTTCTTTTTGACTGCCTCGTTGGTCTAGTGGTTGTAGTAGTGCGACTGCTGATAGTGAGGTCCTGGGTTGGGCCAAAAAATCAATTATTGAGTTTTTTCGTCAAAAGAAATTTTCAGTAACTGCACGGAGTCAGGAAGTTGGTGAAGTCTCACCCCCGTGTCTCGGAAAGCACGTAAAGCCGTTGGTCCTGCGCCTGATCTTTCTCCGGTCGTGTCGGTTTACCGTCCCATCGGAAAATGAGAGTGAGGGAATAGAGAGTGCACCTGTGCTTGCACATACACTTGGACACTATAATCCTGTCCAGTGCCGATGGCTAGCCTCCGTTGAGGCAGGCCGCCGTGGCCGAAATTCGGTCTGGAGGACATTATTAAACTATTATATTTCACATTGTTTACATTCACATTATTTTGAAAACAAGAAGTTTCTTTTTTTTTTTTTTTTTGTAAAAATGAGACTGTATTTGTTATATATAACCGCTTTTAATTTATTTGAACAATAGTATTGTGGTTTTAAGGTACCTATATCGGCAAAGTCGACAAGCCCATATCGACATTCTTCTATACCTATATTTTTGATGTTTTAGTATGCCTAAAAACGATAAAGAAAAGTGGATAAAAGTAATTCCACAAACACAAAACCCTTGCACAAAGAATAGCCCTATTTGCTCAATAATTACACTTCTTCAAAAAATGTTATATTAACGAAGGGAAATGGCAAATGCAATTCCTACTTTATACATCATAAGAATACAAATATACAACATGTAACGTAATTAACGCACTTTGAGAAAGTAGTTTGTTCAGAATCGTTTACTGAATCGATTCCTATCATTTTTAATATAGGTAATTTTTTATCCCAAAAATAATTAAAACTACGTAAATTACAGTCACACTAAATCTGTTCAGTCAAAACAAACTGAAATGGACCGTAACTTAAGGCAATAAGACTTTTAAGAGTGCAGTTTTATTTGTATTATTACTAATTTTGTCATTCAATAAAAATAAAGAAAAATGTACTTTATTTCAAGCACGTTAACGTCTTTGCGTTCGTGGATTTGTACTGTGACCACAACATTCTTCCGGGATTAGTATAACTAATTTGATAAATAATCAGTGCATAAAAATGTTTATGTTTAACTAAAAATTCAGTGTATGTATTATGATTATAACATAATATACTAATTGGGGTGTCTGAGGGTGTGCGTTAATTACGTTACATATTGTATAAGGGGTCTCAGACGAAATATTTTTATTTCATCTGAGTAAGGGGTATGTTTAATTTTATTTTTAATTACGTCTCTTCTAATATGTTTGGTAATAATATTTTACTTTTAATATATACCTATTGTGAATTAATAATACACGACATATGAAAAGATAATACCTAATATCATTTAATGTTATAATAATAGGTATGCGAGTACAAATAGATAAGTTAAATTTTTATTGAAGAAACTTAAGAACA